CAGTAATTTCTTCCCAATTAGTACATATTGTCTGCCACTATTGTGTTCGTATCTCATGCCACCTTTTGGGGTGCTGCTATAACACAATCCATATCTCAAGCACAACCTTCCTAATTAGTCTTCCATTACATACTCCTGCCCTTGTATTGGTTTACAACAACCCTGATACTCACATTCAAGCCGTCTTTTTACCCGGATTCTTTATCGGTCCATCCCTTACTTCCAGCCAGCAACCCGGACGAGTTGGTCTGCTCAGACTTTAGGTGCCTGAAGAATGCTCTCCCCTTGGTCCATACTTTCAGAGCATATCGCCTTTTCCTCTGGTGCATCTAAACTGGCAGTTCGACTAGTGTGTCCCCCACTAAAGGACCTGATCACTCGGTTCTCCAATCTCAGTCCCCAGTTCAAATTCAGCCTTCATGTAGTACCGTCAAAGATCACTGCTACCTCCAAACTTGGAACTTCCCAAATGGGCTCCGATCTCTGGTCCTGTAACTCATGCTGAGCACAGCCCACAGATTATAGCCTTCCAGAATCCTTTCCCTGGCTCCACAGACTGAATCACTAAATCATCCCTGGGCCAACCTAAGTAGGAATCGTTGTCTAACATATTTTGTTTTCGCTATTTTCAAAAGCATCTTCCATGGAATTCGAACCTTGAGGAATATACCATTACCATTTAGAGAGGGTGACGACTAGACCACTTCACTAAGGTGCTACACCTCTTTCTAGGATGTATTTCATAATTATGAGTTACATCATTTAATTAAGAAATTAATTAATTCTATATATTTTTTTGGGACCATCTAAAGCCAGTAGTCATGTGACTAGTAGTCAAAGTGGCTAGTGTAGCATATATCATCTAAAGCAATGTAGTGATATAAGTACTCATGCCTAAAGCCAGGTAGTGATGAAGTCATCATGTCTAAAGCCGGGTAGTAATGTGGCCATTATATTACATCACTACCTGGCTTTAGACAACCTCTTTTTGTGGAAGTTAGCCTTTTAGATGTAAACAACTATAAATTTTGCAAATTTTATGTACTAAATCTATAATGTGTGGAATATTATGATATACTGGACTAGAATACTGATATTATTTCAAATGCACTAGTTAAATAAAAAAAACACTACTATAAATTTCTGCAAATAATGGGCATAAACTAATTAAATTTACTATACTTTCCAATTGTTTGCCAGTTAGTGATGCAGATTTTTGAATACAACAGATTTCAAGATTTGGTATAAAATAATATGAAAAGGAAAAATTCAGCTCTAAAAAAAAATTATTTAAGCAATTTTATTACATAATTTATGCTAACTCTATTGTTATTAAACTTTAAAAAAAACTTTGCCAACATTACTTGAATATAAATCTATGCCTCTGAACATACATATTTTAGATTATCCACTTTTATTTAATAATATCTTGTACTATGCAAAAACAATGGGAGTATATCTAAAATGATAGTTTTATTTGTAATTATATGGCTTCCTTTGGCAACTATTTGTTAGTGTTTTGAACCGTCAACTGAAAGTTCAACTAGGGCTAATCTGGTAGACTTCCGGGTATTCCCAGCCAATCACTAATGTTTGTTTACATCAGGTAAAATAGAATGTGTTGATCCTATTTTACCTGATGTAAACAAACATCAGTAATTGGCTGAGAATACCCAGAAGTCTACCTGGATCAGCCCCAATTAAACTTTTGGTTGACAGTTCAAAACACTACTATCTGTTAAATGAATACAGCCTTATAGTAATTTTATATATGCATCATCTTAGAAAGTATATCAGATATCCAATTACTTTTTAAGCAACAACAACAATAATAATAATAATAATTACTGAATTAATTTAAATATATAAATTGTTCTCTTTAATTATTAGTCTCATGATCAGTGTTTGTAATCATATGTTCATAGTATTCAGAAGAATATAAATTTGTTAAAATAATAAAATTTTTTATTTTATATAATAATTAATAAAATTTTTTGTGTTCATTATATTTTTTAACATAAGCATAATATATAGTAATAAAATACATAACTACAAAGTATTTTGAAATTCTAACACTGCTAAACTATGTATAATGTGGTTTAAATATATTAATAAGCTAATTTCATTACATTGATAAAATGTAGCACTACTAAAGATTTCAAGAACTTGTTTATTATATATTGAAAATTTTATAAAAACTCATTAGTATGTATAGTACAAAACAAATATATATATATATATATTCTAGTATGATAGGTGGCGCATTCGCACTACTAATCTTATTTATGGTTTGTAATTTATAGTAAATAGTAGTTTTTTTTAATTAGTTTGTAAGAATTATTTGTTTGATTTTTTAGTTAAGTATTTATTTAATAAGTTTTGAATGATGAATTCATTATTATTGTTAAACTTTTTTTACAGTTTATTATTATTATTATTATTTTTGTTTAAAAATTTTTACGATTATTGAATTATTTAAGTAGGTTTTATTTTTTTTTTGGATGATATAAAGGTTTTGAGTTTTATGTATACTATGTTTTGGTATTTAAGATTTAGGTGTTATATATATATATATTTTTATAATGTTTTATTTTTTTATTTTTTTTTTTTGTTTTAACGGTTTTTTATTTAGTGTTTATTTTTATTTAATTATTAAATTGAAATTTAGATTTGGTATACAGTTTATAGGTAGATTTTTGTATGATTGGTTGTTCAAATCAATTTAATTTTACATCATTTATACGGTATAAAGTACTTTTTAAAAAGAAGAGAATTACTACGAATAAACATAAAAGAAGTATAAAGAGTTTTATTAGGGTTGTAGGACTCTATTGTTAGAATGTATCTTTAGCCTTTTTGTTTTAGAGGAGTTAGTATGGTGATTACTTGATTTTACCTGCCTTTGCAAAGTTGTTATTTTGTTAATTTTTCTAACGCTAAAAGAGATGGAGTACTTTTTAATAGTGGAGTCTTACAACCTTAATAAAACTTTCTTTATACTTCTTTTTTGTTTATTCATAGTAGTTTTCTTCTTTTTAAAAAGTACTTTATACTGTATAAATGATGTAAAATTGAATTAATTAAACAGCCAATTATGAGAAAGTTTTTTTATGATTATGCGGTAATTAGTTAGTGAATGGTTTGTTTTTGTTTATATACATGTTATATTGTGGTTACTGGTATGTAATAATTTTTTTATTAATGTGTTTAATGACGAAATTTAATATTGAATGGTTAGTCTAATAAAATTACGGTTGATTTTTGTGGGAACTTATATTAAGCAAAATTTATTGTTTTTTGTATCATTATTATTTAATTTTTGTATTATCGATTACCATAATATTATTTAATAATTATGTAATTGTGGGAGTTTTTGATGTTGATAGTATTGGGTTTGGTGTCTTTGAGATTAGTAGAATTTTGTTTATATATATAGCGTGTGTTTTTTTATTTGTAAAGATAAATTTATTTCTATCTTATCTTTTCTTTATTTCTTATTATCTTTTTCTTATTTCTCTATTTTTATTTTTATTTCTTTATTATTTTTTATTTTCTATTTTATTTTTACTTATTATTATTATTATTATTTTATTTTTTTTCGTGTTTTGGAGAACAACTGCTAAACAAATTCGATTCATTTTTGCAACTGTAACCATCAGATACTGTAGATTTTCATTTTCAAAACTGTTTTCCAAAAATTCTTCATCAGAATTATTAAAATCTTCAACTCGAATATGCTTTGAAGAACAAGCATCATTTGAACAATTAAAATCAGATCTGTTAATACCATCATTTAAAACTGCAGAAAACACAGTTTTGAAACCAGAACTATCTTTAGAACTTTCGGAAGCATTATGATGTGTATCCAGAAGTTTAGAACGATTTGAATGTCTAGAAGACGAAAATCCTTGAGAAACACTATTACCAGAAAAAATACTCTTATTGAGTATTAATAAGATTAATACTATTAGCATAAACATAAAATTCGCTATTAATAATTTCCATCTGTCCTATGACAAATATAAGTGATTCTTGAGGCCGAATAGTGTCTTTCAAGTGAGCAAAACATGAATTATAATATGGAAAGACAATTTTCATAATAAAATTATGCTCCTGACCAGCATAATCGGTAACCAAAGTCTGAACAATAGCATCCTCCTTAACCACATTTGGTATTTCCTGAGGAATACCAACTAAAGAAACTTTTAAAGGACATTTATTAGATACCACAACCTTATTAAATATCATCAAATAAGTAGAAGTCAAAACCGTTATCTAAATTAAAACAAAAAAACTAATAAATAAATACCCCAAAATTAAAAATACAAAAATATTAAGTACCTTTGCCCTTTTATTCTCTCCATAAAATCCAGGGATAATTTTACCCCAACAGAAAAAAAACCATCCTTCACAAAAATAGCCTGAGACTCCGGGTCACTTTCAGCCAAATTATTTGGCATAAATAAATATAATTCGATATCATAATCTTTACGCTCTACTGGATATGAACTGAGAGCCCAAACAACCAACAAATTAGAATCTTTCTTTACATGCTGTCTTACTAACTTAATCCTAACAATCGTATCAGCATAACACAGCATAAAAAAACTTTACCAAAACACGAAAAAAATATAATAAGAATTTTGTATGTTATTGCATTGTACTGTATAAAATAATATAGTACTATACATAAATAAATTGGTTATTAAACCTATTTTATTGATTCGAAAATAAACAGCAAAGATAATATTCATATAATAATATTTTTAAACTAACTAAACAGATCAATGATCAAGATCTCTAATCGTTTACTTGCTCCATAAATTTTTTAATTGTATTATTCCTAGATTTATGTTTTATTAGTCGACTAAGCCGACTAAAGTGATTTTATAACATCGATTTGATTGGTTGATAGTTTATACCAAAATAATATATATATTACTACTTGGACGCCAATATGTTGAATAAGCCCAACTAAAAATATTTTAAATAAAAAAAATAAGACTTAAAAATTAACAATAATAAAATTTATGATATAAATTGTATTTAAAAGATTTATTTACTTTTTTTAAATATTCATCATTTTAACATATTCAATTCGTTATCTGTACATTCAATTTATTAAATCCGCTATCTGTTAAATAAATATTATATAATTAAATATTATATAATTAATAAAGAATAAATATTCATTATAACTTATAACTGTAGTTACCTCGATAAAATGAAGTAGTAAATTCAATAAATTTGCTTTTATAAATGACTTCAGAATATTTTTGTATATCTACACTTTTGTTTTTTAATATTTCTTGTGATTCAGTTAATTCCGATAAAATATTTTTGTCATTTTGCCATTTTGCAAAAATTTCGCAGATTTCTATAGCTGATGGTCGATTTTTTGCTTCTCTTTCCCAGCATTTTTTCATTAAGTTTAGATAGCATTGTGGTGTATTCTCTAAAATTCTTGGCCGTAAATTTTCTCGACAAATTTTCAATTGAAGTTGAGTCCCAAATTCTTGATTATAGCTTATGGATTTTCCATATAAAATTTCCCACATAATTATTCCAAATGAATAAACATCCGATGCTGTTGTATATTGTTCTCCATCCAAAACTTCTGGTGCTATATACGGCAAAATTCCATAAACTCCATGTCTTTCCGCATTCAATGCACTATTAGTAGTTATTGCAAGACCCAAGTCTGCAATGTAAGCACTATGTAAATGGTTTTGTAAAATATTACCGCTATGTAAATCTCGATGAATAAGTCCTCGAGAATGAATCATTTGAAGATCAGAAGCAATACAATGTAATAAAGTTAATTTGTCCGTCCACTTCATTCGTAATATA